CAGACGCACCGCGGCCCCGCCAAACGGACCATTCGGTCCAACCCTCCTTTCCCCCGCAACGGATGGATAACCCAGGGGGGGTAGCTTATGTTTATACTTGACTGTATTCAGTTATGTGTTGTTTAAACAAGTTTAAAACTATACATATGTAGCAACAAAGCGAAATATGTACATACAGCATACCTGCATCCCTACATACCTATTCACCCTTTTGTCTACATACCTACATATACACCTGCCTAGGCACCCCATATACAAGCAACGAACGCAATGCACAACGCCTTATTCTGCTGCGAAGGTTCGCTTTCCTCACGCGCTTCACAGACCCAAGTGTCGACTCTGCTTCCTGCGGGTTTGAGGGCCTACGCTGAAGTTGGGGGAACTGGCGTATCTGAATGGTCCGATTATACGATGAGTGATGAAGGCTAGATGTCTGCACCGAAAATAAAACTTCCAATATGCGAACTCATCTGAAACTCTGAGGATCTGGAGTAATTGACAACTCACAACTCAGTCTCCTCATTCCGTCATTGACGAAAGTTTCTAAGGTTTCGTGTGCTATCCTACCATGCCGTCACAAGGCAGGCCCAAAATTGCGAACCCGACGCCTGTGCAGTCTCTAGCGGCTGCGCTCCTGCCTTGGAGGGTGTCATCGAACGTCATGCAACCGATAACCATACACACCCCCACGCACACAAACAAAAAGCACAAGATGTTTTTTCGCGCTTGCAGTTGCAAGATGTGATGCTTTATTAATATTCATGCTTGCGATACAGCTCCTGTGCCGTCGCTGATGTTCCACCATGTCCCGGTATTCTGATCTTACTGGTTTCTCAAACCATTGGTCGTTATGTCCCGAACATCCCGAATCCCGAGACATCCTGAAACTCTGAAGTTTGAGCTTGACTTGCAATTGTAGAGCCTAATAAGCATTCCAGGCATTGGAGTGCAAACCCTAAACCCTAAACCCTAAACCCTAAACCAATGTGGTCTCTGGTCCTCAGAATCAACTTCGTACTGGCGCGGGGTACTGAAGGCCGTGGTGGCCCTTGCAACAGGGCCGGATGCTAAACTATGCCCATTGACCTGAAGCCTTCGCATTTGGGGCTGAAGGCTTTAGCAACGACTAGTTTTCGACCTAGGATCCTGCAGAACATGGGTAATCTGGCACTGGATAATTATCCAAGCTCGCCTATCGAGGAGAATGGGAACAGGGAGTACTGGCGGCACCTATGGGGGTTCTGCGACAGAGATACTTGTCTGAGGCTACAACCCCCATGCTGTGCTGGGGATGAATGGAGAAGTTTAGAGTTTAGAGTGACGCAAGCATGTTTCGACCGTACTGTAGTAGATGCCCAACCTTCAACCAGGACAAGGTCGTGCTAGATGCTGAATATGTCTGAGCCCAGACAAAACCCAAAAACCTTACTTGGGGAAGGAGAGCTCAGTTCGCGGCAGTACGCAGGCACTCACGAACGCACACACACACACACAGACACAGACACACGCAAACAAACCGAAACACACATACACACGCTGAAGAGTCCTAGTATTCAGAGTGTCGTGGATGAGTGACTCTCGCAACCTTCGCTGGGCAAGGATCCTGAAGTTGGGGGCGGACGGCTACCTCCAGCTGTGCAATGCGGCACCAATGCGAATAACAAACTGGGCTTTGGCCGCTGTCGACGTGCGCGGGGCCTATCAGCATTTATCCGGCGACCATCATCGAGCCCAAGGGGGAAGCGTGAATCGCAAACGTGATCATCAGACATGCAGCTGGGCATTGACAATAGTCCCGCTCTGAGCACGGCAAGGGCACACACACACACACACTTGCACACTTGCTCACTTACCTATCTGATTGTGGAAGAATACAGCAATACCTGCTACCACTATGCACTCGGTATGCACTCTGCTGAGTTGATAGTCACCGATCAGCCGAACAGTCACAAACCGAATTAAAGCATCGCCTCAAGCGCCCCCTCCGCAGAAGGAATGGCATCTTGATCGGAACCTTCTGCATTTCGGCTGCAAGATTTGGAGTTAAAGTTTGCGTAGGAAATGGGCGTGGGGTTTGCCTGCATGAACCGTACCTTTGGTTTGCCTCTATGGGTTGTTCGATGCACGGATCTTTGCACGCTGGCCTAGGAGTGCGGCCTAAGATTCAAAAATGTGTGCAAGTCTCCTCGTCACTACCCGGAACCCCTGGGTGAAGAAAGAACAGCGGTAACAGCTGACAAATATGACAAATTGCTGGCAGTATCCAGAAAAATAACGAGAAGAATGATACTCATGTGAAAAGTCCGACCAGAGATAGCAGCAGTCGGAGCGGTCCCGACAATCATGACATCAGAACATGTACGCCACGACAAGAATCAAAAAATTGTTAACCACAAATGTAAGCAGAACAATGATACTGATACGAATGTGAACCAACAACAACATCATCGGCGTTCCGTCACCTTCGGCTTTGGAAGGCACTGTCTTCAGCATGCACGGTAAAACGAAAGCCTGGCACGAACTAAACGATGTAAGGCCTGACGGTTTAGGGTTTTGGGTTTAGGGTTTTGGGTTTAGGGTTTAGGGACTCCGAGGATTCAAGTAATGTTCAAAGTCAGTTTCGGGCGTTTATGCTGCTATGGTTTAGGTCTCAAGGCTCAGGGTTCCAGTGTCGCTACATGGATCCTAAACCCTAAATCCCAAATCCACCCTGAACCCTAAACCCCAAAGAAAACCTAAACCCAAAATCCACCCTAAACCGTGGTTGAGGGTTCAGAGTAATCCATGGACCTGCCTGGCCCAATGGTCGGCTCCGACATTTTTCCAGGTTGAGCTTCACCTTCTGTGGTAGAACGCTCTCCTCGCAACTGTGGCCCTAAACCATAAACCCTAAAACCATACTTTAAATCCAAAAACCCCAAACCCTAAATCCTGGGGCGCCCTTTCATCCAGCTCCACTGCAACTGAGCGGTGTGCAAAATTGCGAGTGGGAGCTGGAGACTGCCACGGAGACATGTACTAACATGGTATATCGTATAAGAAAAAATATATATATATTATAGAATAAAGGATATAGTCTGTGGTAGAATAACTATATTACATGTTATACTAAATACTCGCATTTATTGTGTGGATATACACTGCGCGTGGCTGTCCTCTAGCCAGGCAAAGCTTTGGTCAACGAAGCAATCCGTCCTGGATCGAGAACGTCACGGCGAAGGGTGTTTCAGCTTCTCGAAGCCCCGAACCCTGAAACCCGCAAGAGCCCTGAACCCTAAACCCTTAAGAGCCCTGAACCCCAAAAACCCTCCTTAAGCTGATATGCAACAGCTAGGGAAGCTTCTGGAAGCTTCTGGACGGGCCCCAACTTCTCTTGTGCCGGCGCTAGCTGTCGGTACTCATGAAGCTTCTATTGGAGTTCAGAATTCGGCTTCGGGAGAAGGGTGGAAGATTTGGCATGTAGTCAAGTCGGACCCGACGACCCGGTGCGACAGTGCCCAGCAGAGTTGCAAAAAAGAAGCTAGGTATGCCGTGACAGGTTCGCATGTCATGTTTCGCTTTCCGGAAGACTTGGGTACCCTAAACCCTAAACCCTAAACCCTACTTAGTGTT